GTGTGTGTGTGTGTGTGTGTGTGTGTGTGTGTGTGTGTGGTGTGTGTATGTGTGTGTACAGAGAGAGAGAGAGTGCACTATATATATATCATCTATATATATAAAATATCAATCGATCGATCGATAGATAATCTCCTCCCCCACTGACTGCTGGCTAAGCCTGATGGGAATTGTAGTCCAGCAACATAAAGAGGCCATAGGTTCCTCAGCCCTGCTCTGTGTGTAGAGTAATATGTATTTGGTCCTTCCCCCTTTTTTTCTTTTTCTTTTTCACTGTTTGTTCTGTACCAGTAATAAACTAAGAATCATTCAGACATTTTGATTTTTACAAACTAGGGATCTGACTATACGAGATGATAAGTTTAAAATTAGAAGTGGAGTGCTCTTAATTACTAAAAGAGCTCCTTGTTCTCACCTCCACATTTTGAAAATTAGCATGCTTTCCATTGTAATTGGTCATTTATATCCAGAGGTAAATATAGCTTCATTTGCAGGTCTGCTTGCCCAAGCAGGAAGCTCTGAGCAATCACATTGATGGACAACTAATGTTTTGTTGGGTTCTAATTGTTGTCTGTCTGATGTAGTTTAGATATATAATATTGCCTTTTAATAATGTAAGATGCCTCTTTATATTCAGTGTTTGTAGTTTTAAATATAATCTTTTGATGGTGCTATCGTTGTATACTCATTGTTTTCAACTTTAAATATTATTGTTCAATGTTGTAAGCCACTTTGGGTCATTTTCAAGGAGAAAGAGTGTGTGTGTGTGTGTGTGTGTATGTCTGTGTCTGTGTCTGTGTCTGTGTCTGTGTCTGTGTGTCTGTGTGTGTGTGTTTGTGTGTGTGTGAAAGAGAGAGAGAGAGAGTGAGTGAGTGAGTGACTAAGTAAGTAACTAAGTACTTACTTTCTTTTAGGGCGACGTATAACAAAATCAAGTCCACCTAGTTTAATTCCCACTAAGAGCCCCTTCCAGCCTATAGTAGTGGAAGGCGGCTGGACTGAAGAAACAGAAGAAGAGATGAAACTCATGGAAATGATAAAACACACAGAGGTATGTGCTTTGTGCTATATTGTTTGATAATAAAATAAAATCAGTGTCTCCTGTTGTCAATACGTAATCATTATTAAAGAACTGAGCAATGGACTTTCATCATTTGGAAGCCATGGAAACCACCAGATTGGAGGAAGCAATTTGTATTTATTTATTTATTTATTTACAAGATTTTTTTTAGCCATGCCATTACCAGTGGTCTCTGAGCAGAATACAACAATATTAAAACTTTAAAAACATTAAAACTATTAAGAATAGGCAATATTATAATAATATCCTATATTAAAAACAGTCATTGAAACATTAATATTAATAAATCCTGCTGCTCGTATGGCCAGCTAAATAATACTATTTAATTAAAATGCTGGCTAAACAGAAAGGTCTTTGCCTGGCGCTGGAAAGCCAAAAAGTGTTGGAGCCAGGTGGATCTCTCTAGAGAGGGCATTCCAAAGTTGGGGGGCAACAGCAAGAAGGCCATATAAGTACATTAATCAGAAATGAATGATTGCCTTTGGGGCAATGGACTGCATTCATCAGAAGTGCTCAAAAGTACAGTGGCGTCTGCTTTGTAGTTAATAAACCATTGCTGTGGGATATAACCAAAATGTGTATGAAACAGCTTAAGTTACACAACTTTTGCTTTATGTCCTGGAGCCTTTATGCTATGCACACTATGAGTGCTACTGCTTAACTATGAAATAGGGGGAACACTTAAATAATGCTAATTTGAGCAGAGTGCTTCAATGGAAATACTATACTTCAAAGAGTAAATGTGTATGGTAGATTTCTGCTGTCCTAGCTTGGTACAGAGGTCTTGCAAGGGAGATAATGCAGATGGTGCACAGAGCCCTGGATGCCGTTTCCTTCTGCTAAAGACACTATGGTACCTGACAGAACTATCCAGCTTCTGTGAAGAAGAGATACATCAAGATACTCAGAAATAAATTTACAAAGACAATTTTTTCATTTATTTCTTTTCTTATTCATTTACTTATTTACCTATTTATAATATTTTTACCCTGTATTTCTCCTTAAAAAGGACCAAAGGTGACTTACATCATTAAAATACATTATTTATAGCTAACAACAGTGAGTATACAAATACTTGTTGTTGTTGTTGTTGTTTAGTCGTTAAGTCGTGTCCGACTTTTCGTGACCCCATGGACCAGAGCACGCCAGGCTCTCCTGTCTTCCACTGCCTCCCGGAGTTTGGTTAAATTCATGTTAGTAGCTTCGGTAACACTGTCCAACCATCTTGTCCTCTGTTGTCCCCTTCTCCTCTTGCCTTCATACTTTCCCAACGTCAGGGTATTTGTTTAGTATACAAATACTAAAAAAGGATCAAATGAATGCCATGCTAAAAAACATAAACAACACTAAAATATATTCAAAGCAGTAAGGTACAACAATATTTTAAAAAAAATCTTAATGGGTTGGAGACTGCAAATAAAGATATCTCTGTCTTTTCTGGATTAAGTTACAATTTTTTCACCCTCATGTAGTTCATTACTGATGTCAGACAGTGATCAAGAACCAAAACCGCTTTCTCAGATTTTGCTAGAAAGGAGAGATTGAAGTGGGTGTCATCCATGTACTGGTGACACTAAAGCCCCAAATTCTGGACAATTTATCCCAGCAGTTTCATGTATATGTTAAAGAACATAGCTGTACTCCCCAAATGCACCTGTGACAGTGGTAGGACTGAGAGAAAGGCTTCTCCTGATAATCTTAACACTCAAGCACACTCAAGGGAGACATGGTCCTTGGGATAGCTTGGACCCAAGCAGTTTAGGGCTTCAAAGGTTAGAACCAGCACTTTGAATTCTGCCCCAAAAAGGATTGGCAGCCAGTGAAGCTTGCTGCAACGGGTGTGTGTGTGTGTGTGTGTGTGTGTGTGTGTGTGTGTGTGTTATGTGATCCCTATAACCAACCCCAGTTAGCTATGTGGCTGATACACTTTGGACCCACTGAAGTTTCCTGACACTTTCCATAGGCAGTCCCAGATAGAATGCATTACAGTAATCAAGCTGGGATGTAATTAAGGCATGGTTAGCGTCGCCAGATCAGATCTCTCCAGGCATGGGCACAGTGGGTGCACTAATTTTAATTGTGTAAAGGCACTTCTGACCATTTCCAAAACCTGGGTATTCAGATGAATCCAGGAGCACCCCCAAGCTCAGTGTCTGTGTTGTGTAACTCCATCTGGCATAAGCTGCATCATTGGTCTTTAATCTGCCTCCCCATGGACCAGAGCATGCCAGGCCCTCCTGTCTTCCACTTCCTCCTGGAGTTGGGTCAAATTCATGTTGGTTGCTTCGATGACACTGTTCAACCATCTCGTCCTGTCGTCCCCTTCTCCTCTTGCCTTCACACTTTCCCAATATCAGGGTCTTTTCCAGGGAGTTTTCTCTTCTCATGAGAAGGCCAAAGTATTGGAGCCTCAGCTTCAGGATCTGTCCTTCCAGTGAGCACTCGCAGTTGATTTCCTTTAGAATGGAAAGATTTGTTCTTCTTGCAGTCCATGAGACTCTCAAGAGCCTCCTCCAGCACCACAATTCAAAAGCATCAATTCTTGGGCAGTCAGCCTTCTTTATGGTCCAGCTCTCACTTCCATACATTGCTACTGGAAAAACCATAGCTTTGAATATGTGGACCTTTGTTGGCAAGGTGATGTCTCTGCTTTTTAAGATGCTGTCTAAGTTTTTCATTGCTTTCCTCCCAAGAAGCAGGCGTCTTTTAATTTCTGGCTGCTGTCAACCATCTACGTCTATGTCCCATAATCAGTCCTAAAGGCAGACTTAAATGGATTTAGATAATCTGTCTCATCCAGGAACCATGGACCGACCTGAGAAGGAATGATGCACTCCAGCACTTTGCTCAAAAACAAAATATTAGAGAAAAGATCAGTAATTATTCAGTACTGTGAGATGTAACGAGGGCTTTTTCAACAATGGTCTAACTAGTGCCTCCGTTAAGCATACCAGGATCCCTCCCTATTGCAAGGAACCATTAGCCATATCTTCTAGCGAGTCAGCCAGTCCCTTTCTGGCAGCTTTTATAAGACAGGAAGGACAAGGGTCCAATAAACAAATGATAACCTTCACCTCTCCAAGTGTCTTGTCCACATCCTCAGGCTGCAGAAACTGAAACTCATTCATTGACCCAGGGCAAACAGGGATCATAGTTATATTCACAGGACCTGTATCAACTACAGCATTCAAATCAGAGTGGATCTGAACAATTGTGTCTGCAAAGAGTTGTGCAAATTCTTCACAACAAGCTACAGTATGGTCTGCATTCTCTTCCAATTGCTTGTTCAGTGAGGTGAACATTAGCTGTGTATAAATTTCAAGATGGTATATGGATAAATGAGTTATTTATCTGTTGTCAATTGTTTTCTTTTAGTTATATAAAATTATATAGAATAATATGGCAACATGTTCTAATCTCTTGACTTTGGAATTGCATTTCTTGTTAGATGCACCTTTCAGAACTTCAGACATCACAGTTGAAAAGAAGCTCTCCAGTTTCTCCTAATCTACTTGTGAAAAGTCACAGAGGCGTCTACAAGCAGCCCAAAGCCAAAAGAATTTGGGCTTATGTGAATGGATCTGCACCTGAACAGGGAACTCATGCCTGGGGGAAAACAATTTTGGAGGTAAAGAACAAAAAAAATAAAAAAAAATTCTTTCAGCAAAATCTCCTCATGCACTGGATGATTTTAGGCCAGATCTTCTTTATTAAGTATTGGGATTACCATGTAATTTCATGTCTCTAAAATGTAACATGAGTATTTTTGTTAATATGTCAAGTCCTGTGTAACACAACAATCTATTAATAAATTATAGCTCATTTTACTCTACAGCCCTCACTCCATCCTCACAGAACATTCTTATTTTTGACTGAAGCCTTGCTCTGTTAGATTGCAGACATCCATTGCAATGGCTTCCAGATTAACTAATTACATATATTGACAATTTCCCCAGCATTTATCAATCAAAGAACACATGATTCTAAGATTCACTTTGGGCCATGGTGTGCATAATGTGCATGTAATGCCCTATTTTTTGTTCAGGAGCCAAAAATAGGGCTGCAAAAGAGATATTGCCATGGTCAAAATGGAATTATGCAAAATTAAAAAATTACTAAAGTCTTCTTCCTGAACTGAGAAGCTGTAGCACCCTTTTAGAGCTAAGTAGGTATAGGTCTAGTCAGTATTTGAATGGAACACTAGTTGAGGATTATGATTATACTACTTTTGTTCCATCATGGGGAAAAGGCAGGATAAATGTACTAAATGAATTCATATTGGCTGAAGTCCTGTTGGTGTATTAATCTCTGCAGAAAGCTGATGATGCCATCAGCAGGTAGTGATCTCTGGAAATTCAACATTTCCTATTTCTGTCTCAGCTTGCATGATGCCCACCTGTGTAATAATAACTTTTATTATGTGGGAACCATGGGATAAAAGGAGGAAGTCTTCAATTTCAGAAAATAGCCACCTGGGTGGCATTACACTGGTGGTGATTTTTGGCAATTACACATGCCCTCCTCCAATCCAGTGTCTGCCACAACTTCTATGTGACGAAAGGGATTATGCAGGAATCAAGGGAGCCATGATACACAAGGGGGAAGTGTTTGATTTCCAAATATTAACCTACTGTTGATATCATCAGCCCTATGCAGACTTATTTACACCAATAGGATATCAGCTGTTTGCTGAATCAGGAACTGACACATATAGCTGGAACTTGAAATGTTTTTTTCCCCTATAATAGTAGTAATTTTATCTATATATCTACAGGGAACAGATTGATGATATTTAGTCAGTGCTTTGTAATACCACTTTCTTCATATAATTGTACAGTGGTACCCCGCATGACGATAATCCATTCCATTAAAGTGAAATCGTTGTCATGCAAAAGTAAAAAACCTGTTGGAATGCATTGAAAACCAGTTAATGCGTTCCAATGGGGGAAATACCTGCTCGTTTTCCGAAGATCACCCATAGAGAACTGCTGATCAGCTGTTCTAATTCGCTGTAATGTAAAGCTTCCGTTCGGAAGAAGGCATCCATTTTGCGAAGGGAAACCATTTTACAAAGCCGAGAAAATCATTGTCAAGCGAAAAAATGGTTCCCAAAGCAGGGACTGAATTGACGTAGAGCGAAAAAAACCCATAGAAACATTGTACAGCAATTTCGTCATCAAGCGGGGTCATCGTCAAGCAGGGCACCACTGTACTGTGTTCTGCCAGCTTCCAATGGTGAGGTTCAGTTCTCTCCTCTCCTCTCTATTAACAATGTGTTTCTCTTAGTCTTGTGTGAGAAATACATTCAAAACTGCCTGGCATGTTTATGATGTATAACACTTCCTTTGATTTGAAGTATAGAATAAAGCAGAACTGTGTCTTCAGTTGTGCAACTAATGGACTGTTACCATTGTTTTCCGACTTGCAACCTAAACTAACAGGTGAACATAGACCATTGATAATAGCTCAGTTTTTATATTTCAGCTACTTGACAGCTGTACAATTCAGTTGAAAATGCCACTGCCTGCAAAGACACTGTACACACCTGTTGGTGAGAGACTACAATCATGGGATGAAATAGAAAGAGAGATGGTTGTGTGTGTTTCTACAGGGCCTCCATTTATGAATAGAAAAGGTAGTTTATCACAGTCTTTCTGTAGAAGATTACAAGTCTGTCATGTATTTTAAGTATGAGGAAATATGGAAAATATAATCATAATGATTCTTAGGTTCTTCTTCATGGTCTCTGTGAATGCACACAAATGGGTTTTACTGCACCTGCGCAGGAGTCCTTGTGCTTCACAGCATTTACTCGCAATCCCAGTTTCACTGGACATGCTTCTCAAGTTCCTTCGTTATCTCTTTGATCATGGTTTGGCCCATTCAATGTTAAAAGTTTATGTTTCAACTATAGTTTCATATCAGCCTGTGGGGTCTGAGGCCTCTCATTTATTTTCTCATCCTACCTTGAAAAGATTTCTGAGAGGTTTATGGAATGTGCACCCACCTACAGGCCTCCACTTCTGCAGTGGTCTCTCCAGGTTGTTCTCCGTGCACTTGCTTGTCCTCCGTTTGAACCCATTGCCTCTGAGCATCTCAAACTTCTTTCCATCAAGACTTTGTTCCTTGTGGCTATAACTTCTGCGTGTCGAGCAAGCAAGCTGTCCGCTCTTCGAGCTGATGCCCCTTCTATTCAATTTTACCCAGACAAGGTTGTATTGTATCCAGCTGTATCGTTTCTTCCTAAGGTGATTTCAGATTTTCATGTTAATCAACCATTAATCCTTCCGACGTTGTTTCCAAATCCCTCTTCTGATGTTGAGCTCATGCTCCACTCCCTCGATGTTTGTCGTGCCTTAGCATTTTATATTTCCAGGACTAAGGAATTTCACACTTCTCCTAGACTCGCTGTATTTTTCCATGGCCCACGAAAAGGCTCTCCTGCCTCCTCACAGACAGTTTCGAGCTGGATTGTTTCTGCTATTACTTTTGCTTATGACTTGGCAGGCAAGACTCCGCCAGAGGTGCTAAAGGCACATTCCATGAGAGCTATGGCAACTTTTACAGCTTGGTTGTGTGGGGTTGAGGTCCCTGATATCTGTCGAGCGGCCACTCTACTTTTGTGACACATTATCGTCTTGACATCAGGGCCAAGAAGGAAGCAAGTTTTGGAAGGGCTGTGCTGACTTCATTGTCGGTGTGATGGCCCTCCTTCTGGTAAGTGAGCTTGTTAGTCACCCCTTTGTGTGCATGCACAGAGGCCACAAAGAAGAAAGAGAGGTTATTTACCTGTAACCATAGTTTTTCGAATGGTCTGTGAATCCACACATCCCACCCATCCTCCCTGCTGTCAGTCACTTGGGGTCTTGAACTTGTTGGAGTCCGAACCTTGACAGTGGCGGACATTCCAGAATAGAGGTATTTTGGGTAGGCAGAGCATGCGCCCCATGGGGCAACGTCCTGCTAATTACATCTTTTTAAGTTCTAGAATATTCCAAGGCATCCTGCGCAGGCACAGTAAGCCCATTTGTGTGGATTCATAGAGGACCACTGGGTCTTGAACTTGTTGGAGTCAGAACCTTGACAGTGGCGGACATTCCAGAATGGAGGTATTTCGGGTAGGCAGAGCATGCGCCCCACGGGGCAACGTCCTGCTAATTACATCTTTTTAAGCTCTAGAATATTCCGAGGCATCCTGCGCAGGCACAGTAAAACCCATTTGTGTGGATTCATAGGGGACCACTTGAAGATCTATGGTTACAGGTAAGTAACTTCTCTATTTCTTTACAAACAATGTTGCACTACGTCATTTTAATATTCAGTTTAATGATGAATATAGTAGTTATAAATTATGACTGCTAAGTAGTCTTTCCCTCAGCTGAAGTTTTAAAACTTATCAGCTTTTTTTAAAAAATCAAGATAATGTACACAGTGTACAAAACATAACTTTTGAAAAATACTAATAGCTACATTCCATAAGATGCTCTGTTGTTATGAACCAAAGTTGACAATATGCTTGAGTTCAGTTTTTTAAAGTTCTGCACAATCTATTGTGACTGGTTGTTATCGGTTGCAGGTACAGGAAGAACGGATTTAATGGCTGAAATCCTGTTGATGGATTTGCACCACACAACAAGGAGGACATCAGCAATAATAGCTGTCCTATGGATGTACTAGGGCAGTGGTCCCCAACCTTGGGCCTCCAGATGTTCTTGGACTACAAATCCCAGAAGCCTTCACCACCACCCCTGCTGGCTAGGATTTCTGGGAGTTGAAGTCCAAGAACATCTGGAGGCCAAAGCTTGGAGACCACTGTGCTAGGGAACAAAAAGCTTCCTACAGACCCCTCGACCAGGTTTTGGTATCCCTAGGTATCCCCTTCATCTTGGGAGAATCTTCAGGAGTTGTGGAACAGGAAGGGGAATGATTTAAAGCCAGAAAACCAACTTTGTTAGGAGCAGCAGTGATTTTTTTGGGGGGGGGGGCTTGAAACTCTTCCCCCTTTTGTTCTGTAGCTCCCAACGGCTGCCTCGGGATGAAGGAGATCCTTAGGAATCCACAAAACATGAAGGGTTGGAAGCTTTTTAATGCTGTGAAATGGCTGTAGCATGGTTGCAGCTGATGAAATCGTCCTTGCTGTGTGGCAGAAATTGGTGCAACAGGATTTCAGCCATTAAAAAGTGTTTTCAAATCTTTGAATTGATTTAGATTTTTAAAATAATATTTTATTGATTGTATCCTACACTGAGATTGATTGTACTCCATCATGAGATCTACTGACACAAGGTGGGGTAGAAATATATATATACCCCACCTTGTGTCAGTAGATCAAATCAAATCAATAGTTTATTTACAGTCCTTAGACCAGTCACATAAGTAAAAACCTTATAAAACCTTAAAATTTCTAACTTTCAGTATTCCATTAGAACATGTTGGCATACATACAACTGGGAACAGCAATCTAATTGGTATTTAACTTCCGCAGTCGAAGTATTGCTACACAGAGCCTTGCAACCCGACAGGTGATCTGGACATCAACATCTGAGAGAAGGAACTCAAGCCTTTTTCCCTCCGAACGTCCTGGCAGTCTATCTATTAAGGGGGTTATAGTCTCTTTCCGCACTGCTTCATACAATGGGCAGGTGAAGAACATGTGTTGTATGGTCTCAATCTCCCTCAGGTGGCAGGAGCATAACCTTTCAGCAAAAGGGGTATTTTTATACTTCCCTTCTAGTACAGCAGAGGGGAGGGCCAAACACCTTGCCAGAGTAAAGGCTCTTCTAATTCCTTTAATTTCCAAAGATGTTAAGTATTTGGCCGGTACCATACAATTTTTGATGTAAGTCCTTGCTGCCATATTTTTGCGTAGCCATGAGCGTCTTGCCTGGCTCGTGTCAGTAGATCTCATGATGGAGTACAATCAATCTCAGTGTAGGATTCAATCAGTAAAATAATATATATAAAGATAATGTGGAATATACATTCTTCATTAATCAGACTGGGTGGCCTAGGCCATTTCATAACACTTTGTCTCATTCAGAAGTATTATATATCATATCCTACGTAGTTTCATGTCTTTTTTTACCTTAAATACAATTTATTATATCCTATACCTCAAGGCAGCAATTAGATAGCTCATCATTATTTCAATTGGATAGTCATATTATCTACTTCCTGTCTCAATTAAGTTGAACTAAAATTTGATAGAGCTTTCTGTTTTGCTTTTGAAAAGCTACACAGTAATGTACAACCTGTTCCAGCAGAGATTTTTCTGTTAAATTGGTAGTTTTCAAGATATAATAAACAGTTCTTCACTTTTTAGAAAATTTGTCCAAATGAATAATAAATACAAAAAAGTGAAAACTCCAAATCATTCCATGGTTAGCTGTTTGATACTTAACATTGCTTATATATGATATATATTTTTTCAAAAGCAGCATTATAAAACTGATGTAAGGCAGACTATTCATACCGAAGTATGAAGAGTCTGTATCTTAGTACTACTGAGATCAATCAACTGCTTGAGTAACCTGACTCCCAGTGGCAACTTTTAATTGGAAACCATTTACCATTATACATACCCTTTTTGGTGTATATATCTACCATTTGTCTTTTGCCTAAACCATATATTTCTGGATATGTCACCAGTTTCTTCAGGGAGTAAAGAAGTTCTGAATACTGCAGAAGGTACAAGAAATCTTCTATAGAGAATTTCTTATAATGGAGTGATGTGGTTATAACAAAAGTGTCCCAGCAAGCAATTTGTAGAAGGGAGTGGCACAGAAGGAAAATGTGGGAACGTTCTGCCAGCGTGACAGTGGTGAAGAGAATTGACTATTTAAAATTAAATCTCTTCAGGTTCCAGTGCAGAGTATTACTTTTCCTTTAGAAGCCTACATCATTTGAAAATATTGTATATAAAATGGAGGAATTATGCCCTCAATAGGCTTCTGAGCATTTGAATGTCCATTTCATTTGTGATTTTTCCCCTAAAACCAACTGAGCCTTGGGAGCAAAACAAAGTCATAAAGCCAAATGAGGTAACTGATAGTGGCTGGACTTTCATTTAAAAACAAAAAGGATAAAATATGAAAAGATCCCCTTACTTTCACTTTTGGGGTTCTTTCATGGATTCCTGAAAGAAAGCCTCTTAAACTTGTAGGGTTTGTTTAAACAAACGAAGGTAACATAAGAACTGTGTGTTTTTTCATGTTACCCTTCTTTGTTAAGCTTTTTTGTCACCAAAATCACCTGGGAAATTTGCCTCACCTCACCACTCCTCCACTCCTCCTTACTCTGCTGCCAGCCCTGGCTGCTCCACTTTTCCCTCCCCACCTCCCTCCCCACTGCTGCTGCTGCACCCCTTGCCATGCTTTCATCTCCCCCTACTGTACTTTCCTTGTCAGTACTGTTACCATCACCAATGGGGGGGGGGAATAACCTGAAAGAGGTGCCCCTTTTTGTGAAATGAAAGGAATGGTGCATGAAAACCAACTTAGAGGTTGCCCCCCACAAAAAACAGAAATGCAGGTTTGTGACCTGCATACCACTAATAATAGACAACAGCACTACTTTTCAGGCAACAGCCTTAAAGCCCTGGAAAGCTGCCCTGTGTCAATGCATGATCGTCCTGAACCGGCAGTGGAACAGATTCTGGGCCAGATGTTAGCACATGAGTAGCAAGATTGTAGCAAAAGTTTTGCTTTCCTTTCCATGCTCACTTAGTAGTTTTGAGTCGAGACCTGTGTACTTATAGTTGTCAGTGGTGTCACTACCAAGCTTCAATTTAGTCTGAAGGGCTCCATCTCAGAGGTAACCCAAAATTAACTAAAGACTGAAGACTCAGTTCTAACTGGACAGTCATGCCCAGATATTTATTTATTTATTTATTTATTTTATTTATATCCCACCTATCTGGTCGTGTGAGGACCACTCTAGATATGTACCTAAGTTGTCCATGTAGCAATATTCTGAGCTTGTTATATTATCATCTTAAGTGAAAATCTCAGCAGAGGAAAGGGCAACAATGTTATTAAAGGACTGCAGCAATTCTGATATGAAGAAAGGTTATAAATTACTAGTTTGTGTAGCTCACATAAAGGCGCATGTGATGAAACAATGTGAGATTATACACAGTGAAGAGAAAGTGGATAGAGAGTTTAGTTCATGGAGCCTAAAGAACCAATAGCCACTATTCATGAGGGCTATGTATTACCTCCAGTACTTCTGTTCTAGTTGCTATAGAGGATGAGTTAGAAGATACTTGAGCACTAAAACCCAGCTTGTTGGTTTCCTAGTAGCATCTTATTAGCCACCTCATCAATAGAATACTAGACTAGACAGGCCTTGAGTTTGACCTGCTCAGGCTTATTAAACTCTTATTTTTGTATGCTGTACAAGATTGTTAGAGAAATCACTTTTATTAATTGAAGTGGCAAATTGTTGTTTCAGCCATGAAGCATGAAGTGGAAGTTAGAGCACATTATGCCAGAATTCGGAAACAGGAGGGTCCAGAATCTACTGACATTATTGTCTCCCCATCACAAAACATTATACAGAAGGTAGTATAATGAAATCCTGTATAATAGTACAGTACTGCATAATACTGCATATAACTGGCTGTAAATTATATGGTTTTAGTGTTGTATGTTTGTGGATTAGGACAGATCAGGCAACTCCTACCAGGACCCAGACCCTGTTGTCATCATTTAGGACACAACAACAAAGAGTCCTGTAGCACCTTTAAGACTGGCAAGTTTTAATTTGGTGTGACTTTTTGTAGTCTGCAGCCCACTTCTTGGGTGTTGTGTCAGTAAACAGACCTTTACAGAATGATAGTGTGAACAGAAGATAAAGGTTAATGGGAATGCAAGTTCCTGCATGTTGATGGTCAGTCAATGCATCCTTGACAATCCTTTGGGAGGAGAAATAGAGAATTAAATGTAGTTTTGAAGAACCACTTGATGGTCCACTGGGAGTGACAGATACAGTTAAGCATAGATTAGGGGTGTGCCATTCTTTTCTTTTTCTGTTTAGACTCTAAATCTCAGGATTTTAGCAGTTTTTACTCACAAACACAGACATTTCCACTTCAATCACCTAGACAAACCTGAGGCCTCTTTCAAGGCCTTCTTCTTAGCCTTCATTTCCTGCTGCAGTGCCACCAAAGAGGAAACTGCCCCAAGGCTTCTTGGGTGTGGTATTGTTCTCTATTCAGTGCTTTAAAAAACCCTCAGCTGTATGAATGTGGGATATCATATTTCTCTGCCCACAATTAAGAACAGCAGGAAATGATCTGATATTGCTACATAATATCAAATCTGTGTTGCCAGCAGGAAAAGGAATGCCAGAGTTTACATAGCAAAGGGCAAACTGATTGTGGAGAACACCAATGTCCACGGTGTACAGGATACCCTCTTGGGTACCCTCTTGGACTCACTACTAGAGATGGGCACGGTCCACAAAAATGATAGGACAGGAGAAGGCATGCACAGAGACAGCGAGTCCAGCTCCTGAAAAGGAAGCCAGGCCTGCTGTCTCTCAAGATGGCAACGGAGGCAGCGGATGAAGAGGAGGAGTCAACAAGACTATGTCAGGAGGCGATGGGGCCATTAGGAAGGGGGTGGAGGGACAAACAGGAATTTCTTAAATTGTAAAAAAAGTTCATGGTTCAGGTTTGTTGGTTTTAACCAACTTGAACCAACTCGAATCAACAAACCAGTGAATTTTAGCAAACTTCTTGGTTCTTGTTTTAGTTTGCGCCCATCTCTACTCACTACCATTCACAAAGAGAGACCAAAGCAGTGGAAAATCCCAGAACCTGACTCCTTTTCTCAGTAAATTGCTTCTCAGTCAAAATACAAAGCAACCGTCAGCACAGTTTTTCAACAAGTTATCTAGGTATCTATTGCTCGGAAAATATAGTGCTGTGACAAAACCTTTGCTGGGGGCCGCAGATAAGCAGTCACTTGAACTAACTGCAGATGTTGTATGGAGAGAGATGTCTCTGACCTCATGCTTCAGAGCTTGGATTTTGAAGATTCAGAGGATACAGATCTTTCCACTTTTTTTCACATTTGCGTCAGGAACTTTCTTTTTCTTTGCTGAACCACATTACCAGTCAAACTCGGTATTTGCTACTGCTCTTGCTTTTGAATCTAGATGCTCCCAATGTTTCAAACAGAAGGGGATGATTCATACATTCTGGTATTAGGAGGAGGCTAGGAGAATAATTGACGATATTTCCTGCTGCCTTCATCTTGATGTAGAACAGCAAACCAGTAAATTCAGAAAGGTGGGAGGTGGAACTTGATTTAACATAAATTTTTCAATCCGGTCAGATGCCCTAATTTAAGCTATTTCACTTCCATGCCAAAGGTTCAAGTAAATCCACAGTAAGCTTCATTTTGCAAAACAAGGCCCACACTGCACATCCTGGCTAGGGATTTAAAATGAGGTTTTGCAACAAGTATCCATTACTTTTCTTTAAGGGACGTGGTGACACTGCAGGTTAAACCGCAGAAGTCTCTGTGCTGCAAGGTCAGAAGACCTGCAGTTGTAAGATTGAATCCACACGACAGAGTGAGCCCCCGTCGCTTGTCCCAGCTCCCGCCAACGTAGCAAAAGAATGCAAAATGCGAGAAGATAAATAGGTACCACCTCGGGGAAGGTAAGAGCGTTCCGTGTCTAGTCGCGCTGGCCATATGACCACAGAAACTGTCTTTGGACAAACACTGGCTCTACAGCTTGGAAATGGGGATGAGCACCGCCCCCTAGAGTCGGACACGACGGGACATTTGTCAAAGGGAACCATTGCCTTTACCTTTTACTTTTCTTTAGCCTTTTCTCAAATGCTTCACTCTTCAGCATAAAAGAACACTGACCTTGAAAGAACATGGCTGATACTTCTTTCCAAATACAGATAGCTGGGTGTTGTGCACTGGGTTGCATGCAGTAGAAACACTCCAGATGCCTTGGGGAATAATAATGAAATACTTTTCAGCTGCACAGACATGTAATTGAGCACACACAGTTAATCTGACATTTCTTCTAGGTACAGTATTTTATTACTTTGTGCCTCCAAGCAATAGAGATCTAGAGGACCTGTTGAAAAACAGCCCAGCCAATTGCTTTGGATAGTGGCAGGAGTGATTAACTAATGAAAAAAATGAGTCAGGTTCTGGGATTTCCCCCTGCTTGGGGTCTCTTTGTTAATGTGGGTGAGCACAAGAGGACATCCTGTAGACCAGTGATCCTCAACCTTGGGCCTCCAGATGTTCTTGGACTTCAACTCCCAGAAATCCTGGCCAGAAGAGGTGGTGGGGTAGGCTTCTGGGAGTTGTAGTCCAAGAACATCTGGAGGCCCAAGGTTGGGGACCACTGCTGTAGACCATCTTGACAGCTGTCACTGGTGTTGTCAGCATTCAGGCCATTCTTTGCTATGTAAATCTTGGCATCTTTTTTCCTGCTGGCAACGTGGACACAGTATTGTGCAGCAATATCAGGCCATTTCCTGGAATGTTGAATTATGGACATAGAAGTATCCAGTGCTAGAGGACCCGAGAAGATGGCCACATTATCTGTGCTATGGGAGGGAGAACCAAGGACAGCTGTGGGAGGGCAGAACCAAGGACAGCTGCTGCAGTTCCTCTGGGCCAAAATATTTTGAAGGGCCGTATTGGACTTCATGAAATGGTGAAGCAAAAATATGAATGAGTGCAACATGTACAGCAGAGAAACATCCAACCCTTTAACCTCTCAGGGAAACTGTTCCCATCCTTGCTCCACAGAATGCAGACTAGAACACTAGCTTCCAATTTCCAAATCCTTGCTCTGCAAGTATGTTGCCTACATGTTTTCCAAAGGATGTCTTCTTGCTTTCTGAAATTAAAAAAAAATGGGGTCTAAGCATTAGCAAAGATTGTCACTTGAAATCAAGGTCAAAATCATACATGTTATGTAAAAAACAGAAAGTGGAGGAAGAGGAGATGAGGGAGAATCAACTAATTTGAAACATGATGTTGGAGGAGAACCTTACAGATACCACAGACAATTAGAAAAGGAAATAAGGAAGTGCTTAATGCTGTCAAGTCTGTGCTGTCTGAGTAAATTGAGGCTATCTTGCCTTGCACATATAATAAATATACAGAACTGACCAGAAAAACCAATATTGCTTGGAAAATGGGGGGGGGGCAGTAGGAAAAGAGAACGAAATTACATTTAACAGGGATAAGTGTAAAGTTCTAGATCTGGGGGGAACCAAATGCACAGTTACAAAATGGGGGATACTTAGCTCAGTAATACTACGAGTGGGACGGATCTTGGAATTGCTATAGTTCACAAGCTGAATATGAGCCAACAGTGTGATGCAGCGGCAAAAGACAAATGCTATTTTAGGCTGCATTAAGAGAAGTATAGTATCTAAATCCTGTGAGGTACTAGTTTCTCTGTATTCAGCACTGGTTAAGCCTTGTCTTGAGTACTTGTCCAGTTCTGGACATCACACCTTAAGAAGGATGCCAACAAACTGGAGCAAATTCAGAGAAGGGCAACAAGGCTGATAAGGGGCATGGAAACCAAGCTCTAGGAGGAGAGACAGAAAGAACTGGGCATGTTTAGCCTTAAGAAAAGAAGAGCAATAGCACTTTTCAAATACTTGAAATACTGTCATACAGAGGAGGGGCAGGATCTGTTCACGATCATCCCAGAGTGCAGGACATGTAACAATGGGCTCAAGCTCCAAGAAGCCGTTTTCAGACTGAATATCAGGAAAAACATCATAACTATTAGAGCAGTACAACAATGGAACAAATTACCTCAGGAGACAGTGGGCACTGCTGAAGGCATTCAAAAGAAAATTGGAAAACCATCTGTCAGATCTGCTATGACTTGGATTCCTGCATTCAGTAGAGGATTGGACTTGATGGCCTTATAAAGGTAAAGGTTCCCCTTGACAATTTTTGTCCAGTTGTGTTCGACTCTAGGGGGCGGTCCTCATCCCTGTTTCCAAGCCATAGAGCCAGCGTTTGTCCGAAGACAATCTGCCGTGGTCACATGGCCAGTGCGACTTAGACACGGAACACTGTTACCTTCCCACCGAGGTGGTCCCTATTTATCTACTTGCATTTGCATGCTTTCGAACGGCTAGGTTGGCAGGAGCTGGGACAAGCGATGGGCTCTCACTCCGTCACGTGGATTCGATCTTACGACTGCTTGGTCTTCTGACCCTGTAGCACAGGCTTCTGCGGTTTAGCCTGCAGTGCCACCACGTCCCTCTGATGGCCTTATAGACCTCTTCTAACTCTATGATTCTAGATCATGGAAGAAGGCTGCCCGGTCATTGCAAAACTGTAACTTGCATGTTGGTTTGACGGGGCAGAGAATGTGCCTTCCACATCACAAACTGTTCTGCTTGATTCAGCTTGTGGCTGGATAAATTTATAAAGTTGTTCAGTGGGTTCATTTAGGATAAGCAGACCCTTAAAATGACCACTTCATAATGAAGTGTTATTAAACTCTATTCAGCATCAAAAGCATTTCCTAATTTGCTATCTCAAGTAACATCTCACATAACAGAAATTATTGAAAGGGAGAGCCTTCATGTAGCATTAGGTAGGGCTCTCTCTGTATCCTAACCCCTTTGCAAACCCAATTATCAGGAAATGGGCTTCAAGGTCTTTAGAAATGAAGTGAAATATGACAAATAGTTGTACGAACACATTTTACAAAGCTGATTTTGCATTTCATAACTTTATTGGAATGCTCTGCTTATTTGGATATATTTACAGCTATTATTTCTGGGCAATAGATCACAAACAGAGACAACAGTTCTCCAAGTGAGATGTATTCCAAAGAACCCTGTGCAAAGTTTTGAAAAGTTACTTTGCAGGGCTATAACATCTGTGATGATTGCAGACCCTGAGTGCCTCCACACATTTTCTATGGCTAGCTCCAAAATTTGCCCACATACTACTGTAGTTGCTTTGTTGAACCAAGACCAATTTAGCTTAATCAGCTGTACAGTGTAAGTAAATTCAGATGGGGGAACAAAGCCCATTTATATTGAGTATTACATTAATTCTTCCACTTACCTTCTGTCGTAGAAAGCCATAAATGCAACATAGCCGTTAGCGGTTACTACTGGGAGCTCTGTGCTGAACCTGATTAAAGATTTCCCTGATGCCATTTGTGGTGAGAGGGAGATCTCATTGGGAGTGATTCATAGCTAGGACTTCCATTACTAAAGCAGCTTTAAATATTTTGAAATAATTGTGTAGAAACTGAATCTTCAATGAGAGAAATGGAATCAAGGGAGAAAAAAATGTTTAGAGTTAATTGTTAGAGAGATTTTTGAAGCCACAGGGGAGGGGGAGGTTATTTCATCAACCTTCTGGGCTAGTAATCACTTTTTAAAGAAATGTGATTATATAAACATTGAACCTTTGCATAGAATTCTAGGTCAGTTGCATTATTGGTTAGAGCTGAATGACAATGCTACAATCAAAATTTTATCCCATAACAGAGTGACAGTTAATGAATTGCAGATATTCAAAACTGCATTAACTTTTTTTCACTTAGAAAACTATGTCTAACTTTATTGACAGTGAATGTATAAAAAAGTTTCTAACATTGAAATAATGTCAATAAAACTACAGTCTAGGCTGTTTAATACTCTTCACAGTAAAATGTGTCAAATTTATTTTTCTATAGACCAAGTAATTTATAATTTGCATTAATTAAGTATACAGTGAAGGACCAATTTAGCCATTAGAATTTTACAACAGCAATAGTTAATTCCAGTATCTTCTAGATGGTATGATATGGTAATACACAAGAGGGATACCTAATTCACAGAAGCATTTCAAAATGGTGCTAAAAGTGGTAAAATTGTATATATGAATAATCTTCAAGACATTGTAATATGTATTGATGTCACTAACTCCTGAAAACTTTCAAAATATCTTCATAAGATATGCTCTTATATCAGAAGTTGGTTGGGGTTTACATAACACTACAGAAGTGATATATACTCTCCCAAGGATTTATGCCTAACACGTCTGTTTAATTCAGTGATTACTTTGTCGTTCAAAATCTTATGGATTTGTTGCTGAACTAGTCCATTTTGTTTACAATTCATACAATATATTTAGTCATATATTTACAAGAACTCATTATTCCTGTATATAATGCCATATAGGCACTGAATAAGTTGCCCCTGTCAAATGAATGTTACTTGCTGTTTCCAACACCCAGCATTTAAAAAGAAAAAAGAAAAACAACCTTCTTTCTAAATCAGTGATCTACGGTAAATCCGTGATCTGAAATACCTGTCTTTTAGCCTTCCAGATTTCTAATGAAGTTGTTAATTTCCGGCGATCTTACCTTTATCGATCTGAATCGCCTTCACAGGAAAAATGAATCAGATTTCTTTTCTCTTATTCTTCTTCTTTTAATATCAGCAGGAATCCATTTTATCATTAAGCTGAAGTGCCATCAAACATCTATGATCCTGACAGCTTTATCTGAAAAATGTAATTTCTGCTGCTATGGAAACATTAAGGTGATGCAAATGTAAATTAGCAGTGACAGACTAGTAAGCACACTATGTGCAGAATGCCCTCAGGAGAACTCTAAATGTCTGCATATCTCATTGGGGACTTACTCTTTAATCATAATTAAAACATTGATTTAATAGTCCACAAAAGTTTACTTCTAAGGTATTTTTCTAAAGAAGAAGAAAACACTTTGTGGTTTAATGTCTTCTCTTTTTGTCTTCCTCCTTGTCTACCTCAGTTTTTTAGCCCTTTTTTATTAGCTTTGTAGGGAAGTCTCATGTAATCAAAGATTTAAAAATTTTAACAGAAAAGCCTTGGTGTGTTTAATCCCTCCCTCCTACTGAAACAGAGTTTCTCCTTAGTTAACATCTTTGTCAATTAAACTATTTTGAGTTCATAGTTACATGTAAACTGAACAGACAAAACGAGAGTAGATGCATATGTATTATATCCATGTGAGCTTGTATCCCTGCTTCAGAGACCCTCATTCTCCCATCCCGGTCAGCATGCTATAGTCATATGATTGAACTGGATCTTTTGGCCTCTTTCATTTCCTTCTATCTCTACACTGTGGAACGCACTTCCTTATACCATGGTGGGTTTCGTGTGTGACGTTGAGTTTCAGTGCCCACTCTCTCACCACATCTCTTCTTCTACCTTGTTTGTTTCATCTTTTGATGAGCAGTCTGGTACACATGCCTATTTAGTATAGTCATTTTTAATGGCTGCAACCAATTATAAGTCAATCATTTGCTAGAACAAATATAGACCACTCGTGACACATTACCGTAATTTGAACACAACTAGGTAGTGCTTGTATTGTGAGCTATTAAGTGCCTGACATTCTCCATGCTGGGCAACTGAAACATCAAAGCTATAGTTGAGATCTGTTCCGTAAATCCAGTGAGCATAGTGAGGTAGATATAGGGAAGGGGTACAATGATGTAGGGAACAATGTCTGTGTTAAATGTCTATGGCCCTTAGTGCCTTCAGACATTCAGTCAGTGAAGACAGAGAGAGTGTAAGTCAGGCTAACAGGTAGAAGTGACTCATGAAAACATACCACTCACTTGCTTTCTTCCTAGAGTGTCACAGTCTGTCATATCTAAAATAAAATCTGATATGGACTAGTCTGCATTTATTGTGACAAATATCATGAGATGGGGTTATCATACACTATTGGCATACATTTTCTTCTCCAGAAAAAATGTATAAACTATTAAATGAAACTGCAAAAGAAATACAAAGAAGTGGAAAATGCACCAATATTCTTAATGATTGTAAATTTTCAATTTTTTTTTATGTACAGGTCAACATGAATAGCAATCTTTTGGCACTTACCTATGGACCCCATCGAGATCTTAGTGAATAAGTAAGTAGTCCCTGAAGTAAAAACTACAGTGTCATTTAAGCCAGCTTCAATAAAGAACCTAAAATCCAGTGGGGAAGACAGAATTCAGAAACAATTAACACACTGCTTTTCAACTCTTTATAATTTTTAAAACAATATTTTGCTTCTTATTTTTCATATTTTTCCTATTTATTCTATCATTATTTTCATTATATACCATTCATCTGTCTGGTGGCACCTAAAGTCGCATGCAACATAATGAGAAAAAAAGAACATGTTAGAGCATATCAATAAAGCTATCTGAACAGCCAAAACATACATAATCACAAAGTGGTGGAAATACAGATAGTATCAACAGCACCCAAAAGTCCACTGGAACAGTTCTGCCGTATACCTTCTCCTGAATCTCACCTAGACATTATATTTCACAGGGCAACAGTGTGAAAAATCTCTTCCAAATGTATTCAGGTCAGACTGCTTTGATACTTGGCACTTTTAAAATTCAACTGATGCAGGACTCATATGGGTAGAGGTGGCACAGTAGATAGATGGTTTCATGCAAGTACAGCTTTAAGAGTAATAACCAACATCTTGCATTGAACTCAGAAGACCACTATCAGCCATCACAGCTGGAACAGAATAGGTATCATGTGACTGCAGCATGAGGCAACTTTCAGTAGCCTAGCCATTGCACACTGTACTATGTGAACCTTCCAAGTTGCTTTCAAAGGCATCCACATATATTGGGAATTTTAATCTCAAAATTACATCAGCATGAATCAATGTGGCCACATTGGTCATCTCCAGGACTGATGGACAGGTAATCTGAGCATGATTTCCACCTTTTTTCCTCCAGCATTGGGTCTAGTAAACCATCCAAATGCCTTACCTGTTCACCCAGGAATTTCTATATCATCAGAGTAACAATTGGATTTGTCAATTTGTCAAGTGGCCAACATCACCACCATCTTGTCCAGATCCAGCTTCAGTTGGTTAACCCTCAGCCACTTGATCATGGCTTCCAGACAATAACTAACAACTGTCATTGCTGTCCCTCGTTGTTTAGTTAATGAAATATGTTTCTGAGCGTCACCACTATATTGATAGCACCCAAATGCAAAGCTAAGGATAATCTCCAACAGTGGCCTTACTAATGTAGAATCCTATTACTGCACCATTACATTCTTGGTCCTTTTGCAAAGAAAAGTTGAAAAGCATTGCATAACCAGTCTAGGTAGGCCCACATCTTTCTTAGACCTCCTCCACTATATACCATGACCCACTGTGTAAAAAGCTGCTAATAGATATATTGGCAAAAATTTGATTTACCTTTTTCCAATGATAGAGGAGATAATCTACCAAGGCCACCAAAGTCACCTCAGTGCCAGAAGCAGATTCAAAGCTAGACTGCAAGGTGTTCTGCGCAGACTGCATGTTGTTGATTGCTACTGCATATTGTCTGCCCAATACTGTTAAATATTGCTTGATACTGCATTTTAAAAGAATTTAAGATCCCTGTTAGAACAGGCCAAAAATCCATCCAGTAAAGCATCCTGTTTCAATTAATGGCCAGACCAATGTTCCAGGAAACAAGAAGTAGGGCAACAAGACAAGATCCCGGCTACCCTTTTTTTCTGCAATATGAATTCAAAGGCATATACTTCTGGTTATGGAGGTGCTTTGCAGCTATCACAGCTATTTGTTGCTCACAGAGATCTCTAAGAGTTTTCTTGTCTGAGCCATTAGCCACCACCTCATCTTTGGCAAACAGACAGTCAGATAAAAACTATTATGACTGTGGAACTACATAGCTAAATTAATATATGGTTGGAATCCTATTGGTATTCACATAAGGTTCATGTGACTTGTCATAGCTAACTATGGCAAATTAACAGATGGGCACATATTGGTTGTGTATCTGGGCCTGTAACTAGGAACATGAGCGGGACACACACTAGTTCTTCATCAGTTAGTTGCAAGGAGCCACAGCAGGTTATGTATGCCTCATGTGAATACTGGTAGGATTTTAGCCTATGTTTATTAGACTGCAGCTGTGAAACACTAATATGTTAATTATGATGTCAACTTTTAAATACTGAAATCAGATATTAAAGTTAAATGTAGGTGCAGAATATTAAATGTTGCATACCTATAAAATACACAACGTGCAGAGAAGAATACTGAGAAGACATTTGGAGAAAATATATTTCTTTTTCTTTCAGTTTTCTGCTATACCAGTCCCTACAAGCTGGAAAAGCTGTGCTGTGCCCAGATCCCAACGTATTAAGCAGCTTTCAAAAGCATATCAATCTCCATGTACCTTTATCACAATATTATTGTGCACACTGCCTGGAGACAGCCAATGAGAAATGGTGATAGGTCTTTGGAGATAACTGCACACACTTTGCTATTAATGTTAAATAACAGCAAAAAAGGCAGGATGTGAAGTATCTAGGCCTCTGGTTTTAATTTCTCACCTTTCGTTCTGTGATCCTATATCTTATTTCACATAATTGTATACTGTATACATTCAGTAATGAGACAATGAATCTCATTGTCTGTCTCTCTGCGTCTCTGCCTGAATGTTATTGTATGTCACAATCGGCTGAAATGAGTATAAAGTACATCTGAGTATTTTTCCTCTGCTATCTCCTCCCAGATTTTTTTTATGAAGCTTGCATTAATAAATTAACACTTTTGTCCAAGATTTCAGCATTTGGGACATGCTATTTCAATATCCTGCTTGTACTATGCTTTTGTTTATGATTTAATTATCATAAACATAGAGAGGGATATTAAATTTCAAGAGGAAAATGCTTGCCAAAACTCTCACTTCTGGGAGTCTCTGAGGTTCATCTGCATAGTGAAAGGCGCATCTGTCTCAGAAACATCTGCTTCTGAATGTCTCTGTGTCATATTAAGCATTGGCCAGAATCCTATTGCCAATTTATGTTTGAGAAAGAGAAAATGTGTAATCTTTGACCGCAAATTGCTGCTCGTTAACAAGGTGCTTATTAAGGAACCGACAATTTGCTACAAAGACTTACGTTGAATTCCCTTATACAAGGATATTGGTCATTCAGCAGCATGATTCTTTTACAATGATCTGACACATATGGGGGCCCTGTATGGAAATGAAGTTTCTCATCATGCTTTGTAGTCCTAGTTCCCTGCAGGGCAAGCACAAGCCATGATACAATGCATTCAAGAACACATGGTGTGAAGCAAATCTCTTCCCGTTCCTGAGATGGATCTTTGTTCAAAGTGCCATCTGATCACAACTGCAAAGGACCCAAGGCTCTGCCCTGGACTGACAAACCCAGCAGTCTGTGCAAGAACCTGCCTAAAATCCCCCCCCCCACTGTCCCCACTTGGAATTCCAGAGAATGGAAGATCTCTGGGCAATTCTGAACCAAACAGACTTAACCGCAGAACTATCTTTCCATTCTCTGCCAGTGAGTATCACTTGTATCCTGAATCCAAGGACCAACTTTGTATCAACCTGATGAATTTCATCTATTCCCCTGTACTCAAGTAAGGTATTTACATTCAAACAGAGCTCTCAGAGCATCCATTCAAAATGTATCATAATAATTGTATGATTCTGCTTGTTTCCTGAATGGAGAATGAAAGAAAATTGCTTCACAATTTTTATAAATTTTATGTATGCCTCTACAGGCGCCAGGCTTTTTCTAACCAATAACATCTCTCTTAATTAAGTGGTGAAACCAAGAACATTCCTGTCCATAATGTCTGAACTTCACTCATGCTTTTTAAGCAATATCTCAGAAAAACTGTAAGCACCTACTATAACCATTTAGTGTTTGGGGAGGTGGCACTGGTTTGCAGGCTGTTCTGCACCATATATTTGGGAAATAGTAAGTGTCAGTCCAATTTTACAGTGGGTGTTTGGAAATAGCTACCCACTTTTATTCTTCTGTAAATTTTTATTTCTTATAGCTAGAGATGGTGTCATAAAGGGGAAATCTGAAATATTAGTTCACAGCGAGACCCATGAGGGTTCCAGAATTAACCTGTTTGCTGCTCAGTAAAATGTTGTGAGAAATGTAGCTGCTGAAATAGCACTAGACACAGCTACATTTTCATTTAATCTTATTGACCATTGAGTTTCTTACATTCATAGATTTCCCAGAATACAGAAAGAATCTTCCCCAAGTAGTCTATTTCAATTACGTTTACATTCTTTTTGCACTTAACCACTGGGGCAGCTTGCAGCATTTAACATGACTTCTGTTTTTAAAAAAGTACCAGAACAACACAAGACTTCCCGGTATGTTACACGCTGTCATTAAAGATCACTAAACTTTTTCTTTGCTGTTCCTGTCTCTTTTTTATACACCTGCCTTTTCTTGCTAACAGTAAAGACCAATATTAATGGAAAACCCATTAAAAAAACTATTATCCTATGAAGAAAAAGTGAATGCACTCAGGTGTAAAAGGAAGATGTATCGATCAATTTCTAGCTAAACCTGGCTTGTCTGACACTTTGCAACAGTGGAATGTGTTTTTATTACATGGCCAGGTAGTTCAGATTTCCGGTCATTTTTAGTAAAGACCCCTTTTATAACATGGATAAAATTTTATCTCTGAGCTATGAAAAGAAAATTAGGCTTCATAACTCACATTGGACCCTGAGGTAACTGCTTCTATAAATTTTTAAAACATTATCAAACTTAATGTACCTGTACTGCCAAATAATGTTTGTCTCCCCTCCCCCAATTAACCATAGGATGTACTTATTTCGCCCTTTTTCCCAGAAAGGAGGACATTTTTGGCTCAGTTAATATTTCCAGAAAAATGAAAACTCATTTCTAGTTTTAATTCACTGGCATTATGTTGAAGAGATTTTCTGAGCATTTCAATAGCATATCCTCTGTAGCTGATGTGAAATGCACTCCAATAATATTTCATTGGGCTGACTTTCTTCTGACCTTTGCAAAATATACTGATTGCATGAATTAACTCACAAACTCTTGCAGTAGTTTTGAATGTACTAGAAATGCCAAGCAAAAGTGAAGTGTGTGTCCTATTATGCCAAAGAACGCACAAACATTTGAAATATTCTCACTTGTTTTCAGGCTATATGAATTAAATAATAGCTATTTAAATCAGTCAGCAATAGAAAATGAAAATATGTTTAAAATTACTTTCAGTGCCTCTTAAGTGCATGCATTCTTATAATTATTGCTTGAAATAAAAATCTAAGGAATTCATATTTTTGTTGGTGAACTATGAATCCTGGGAAACAATGTATAACAGACTCATTACAGCTGTTTCATAAAAACCCATAAAACATGAAAGATGTCGAATTTTTTAGAGATACTCCTGGTCTCTTTTCTACACTGTAAAATATTCTTCCACCAAAATCATATAATCTAATTCTCATATAAGTCTGTTATGCACATACAGGGGGCCATTAAATTCAGTGGACAGCAGCAATACATGCAAACAGATTGGCTCCCTCTACCAAAATTAATGGGGGAAGTCATTGAATTTCTGTTTTTAGGAAAGGGAAGGAAGTTTTCAGCAATATCTATGCCATCGTGCAAAGCTATATCATCACATAGAAAGTTAAGGCTGACCTAGAGCATCGTCCTACCACCTGCTCAATTTGGGATGGCTGCAGTATATCATTATATTCCTTCTTCTTAAAAGAAACATTCCAGGCTCAGCTTCAGGGTTGTGGACACGAAGCGTAGGTCAAATAAGAAGCATTTGTATTTTTCATTTCATTCCATATTGCAGGTCTATTTTTCACACTGTTAGAAAGCCTTCGGTTTGAGAAGGATGTCATTTGATGATTGTGTGGTAGATTTAAAGCATGTAGTCAAACCATTAAAAATATGGCTTTTGTTACAGGCTAGATTTATCAGTATTCTTTAACTCTTTGGACCATTTCTGATTCAGACTCTTCACTTCAAAAACTGATTTGGTAACAATTTTGATCTGACTTTCGACAGTTTCAAATATACCTCTTAAGTAGATTAGTTTTATAAAGTCCTGTAACTGTAATGTAATATCCTATATGTTCATGGAGAAGCTGGGAGAAAGACATTTCAATTCTGCCATCGGCAGACTGAAGGCTCTTCTAGATGGAGCATTTGTTCTCCATAATGTATCTCATTTACCACTTGTACTACCAGTATTTTTGCAAACTTCTATATGATGTATATTCAGCAATAAAATCCATGCCCTTGTATGCTTTGTTTCCTCCTGAAGGGATAGTTTATTTTGTTTCGATTTGCTGGCCAGACTGAGATGCACTTACCATGAAGTTGCTATGATGCTTTCCATGAAATTCATTTCTGCAGTCAGAAACTTTCAACCTGCAAGCAGTTAGAACAGAAGCACATATGCCCCGCTACAAACACACACACATATACTCACATATAAATACCTTTAAAAGAAAAGCTTCAGGAGGAACATGATTTCCTTGCACATTCATTAAAGGATTCTAGGATTTCCTACAAAGAAACAGTTTTCTGGGAAGTAGCATTTTTATTAGTGAAGTTTGGGGACAGATCCTAGTAAGCCCCATGTTCCTTTGTGATGAACTGGGGAAAATGAGGACAAAGTGGGGTAGAATGCATCTCTCCCCCACACAAACCAGGTGAGTCCAGAGATCAAAATTGCCAGAGATGAATCATGGTGTCAAAGACAGCCTGGGAATCAAATGGAGGACCACATACAGAAGTTCATAGACAAGGCTGCATATGTAAAGGATGGCAAAGCAAGAGGTTTTCCATGATTAATCCGTGTGACAATTTGCTGAGACAAAGCAATCAACCACAGAACAACTGTTAAACAGAACTGGCAAGACCCATACTGTTTCATCCGCTCACATGGTTTGGTGGAGCTGACGGATTACTTTTATAAATGTCGTGCTGTAGTACAAGAAAGATGAAGCCAGTAACTGCTTCAGCCTGTAAATATGGAAGGTATGTAGAAGTCCTTCTTGCTTCCAATAGAATTAAATCATGTACAGGTGCATTTATACATGTTACATCTATATATTTCTACATGTGTGATTCATGAATACAGCAGAAATACACAATGTTTAGATTGACAATGAAGAAACTGAAGTGATTAGGGATTCTATATACCCTGATTCAATCATCAGTCCAAATGGAGACTGCAGCCAAGAAATCA